TATATATATATATATATATATATATATATATATTGATTTTTAGAGAGGGAGGAAGGGAGAGGGAGAGGGAAAGGAGCAAAATGTGAGAGTGAAACACTGATGGGTTGCCTCCAACACGCCCCCTACTGGAGATCAAACCTACAACCCAGGCATGTGCCCTGACCAGGAACTGAACTGGCCACCTACTTTCTAGTGCACAAGACGATGCCCAACCAACTGAGCCACATTGGCCAGGATTGGGCACTCACTTTTTAATTTACTGTATATCTTTTACACTGTTTTCTTTAGTGAAAAATATGCATTACTTCAGTAGTTTGAAAACACAATAAAACTATTTTTTTAGAGAAAAAGACCTTTTCTCTGGCATCTTGACAAAAGCATCAAAATGACTTTTATACTTTTATGGGAGAAGAGACTGACTGAAAATTCTAGTTCTGAGACCACTTTCATTTGAAGATTGGAGCAAAAACCTATGAAATGCTGAGCAGTATATCATGCCACAAACCTCGCTGCAGTGATGGAAATGCTTGTGAAAGGTCTGGGGTAGGTTTGGACTAGGACCCTGGTCTTCTCGACTGACCTTGACTGCAGGTTTTCCCGGTGTATCCTGGGAAGCATCTACATTTGTTTGGTCCCACACACTCACCGAACTTACAGCCAGGCTCACATGTAGCTGTGGAAAGAAAAGGTGTTTTGAGGATAAGAACAGGAGCAGTTAGCACAGTGAAAGGTACTCACGTCAAACTCAGCCGCCTTCTGTATGGCAGAGAAATCCATGGGGACATTGAGGACAATCTGCTTTCTCTCTGGCCTGTTTTCACCTTTAATATACTGGAAAGTGTTTTGCTTGTGAACTAGACCACCCCCCATCACCCCTCAACCCCAAGGAATGCAAATTTATTGTAACTCTGCTTAGCACTGCCACACCTCCAGTGGCATTCAAAGAAAAACAGAGCCTTTCAGACCACAGCCAGCCAGCCTTGCACATAAACACGAAAGATTTAATAAAAGAAGTATAATGGGTCAGCGGGAAGAGACTAGTGGGCCAAGTGCCAAGGTCCCTTTCCTTCTTTTTGTCACTTGCCTTTTCTTTCTTTTCCATATTTTCTCTCCTACTTTCATTTTGAATGATCAAAGCCATTTAATGCTGTGGATTATCAGTAAAAAGAACCACTGCAGATTGGAGGCAGGGAGGGTGGGAAGCTCCAGCCCTAAGGATGGGAATGAAAAGCATGGTGATAATGATGATGATGATGATGATGATGATGGCGGCACCATAATAAATGCAGGACTTTACTGCTTTATTTACTTCTGTATCCGGACACCTGACACAAATGAAGCACTCAGTACAATAAATATTTGCTTGCTGAATGAAACGGTGGGAGAAAACACAAGGATAGGATGTGCAACTGACTGGGTTGGAGGCAAGAAAAAAATAGTCAAAGATGATGGGCAGTTTAAGCCCAGCTCATAGGGAGGAGACAGGGAGAAAAAGCAGTAGATAGGGGAAAAAGGGAAATGGGAAAGCCCGAAGAGAAGAAAGGGAGAGAGAGAAACAATGAATGAGAGAGAGAGGAGGCGCAGGGAATCGAGGGCCCTCAGCGGTGTCTATATTGTTATGGATACCTACTTGTGGTACAGCTTTAAGTTTAAATGTTAGAAAAAGAAATCTCTTATTTTTTTAAGCCCTGGAGCCCTCTGATTGTTCCCTGGAAAGTTACTTTCAATGCGGTCCAGACAGGAAAGCCCAGGATAAATGCCAAACAGAACACAGAAGCGTCGGTGAATAATACTCCTGCTACCATAAGGTCCAAGCTCCAGAAAGCAACTTTGGACCTGCGATTGAATAGCCAATCCACGGAGAAACTCAGTTTATGCCTAAAATGGTCTGAGATTCAAGTGGGCTTTAGAGAAAGTAAAGCTCTCTTGTTCAATTCTCCCCGAAAGCCCGCCATCTGTAGCTTTTCCTTAGCGACTTGTTCGCGGCCAACATCTGGCTAAGTGACGTGCAGGTGACAGTTAACGATACGGAGTTGAGGGCCGAGGTCTGCAGGGCTCTGGCGTCGAGGCTGGGCCTTGAGAGGAATGAGCGCGGCCGGGCAGGTGGAGGTGAAGGCCCTGGGTAGGCCGGGGCCCCAGGCCGGCTCCAGCTCTGTGCTCTTGTCCCCTTGCCACGCAGCCCACACTCCGGCGCAGCAATCAGGGACCTGGCCATCGGGGACCAAGCACCCTGCTGTTCGGTGCCTCAAGGAGCATATGACTGACTATCAAGAAGGACCATGCAAACTGGGTAACATATGATACAGAGTTTACATATAAAAATCACGGCAACGGCGTTAACCTGAACATTTGACTGGGGCAGCGGGGGTGCCAAGCACCCCTTCAGCTCGCCAGACTTGCACAGTGAGCATTTTTCTCGAACCCTCTGCACTTACTTGCTCTTTTAACATCTTGCTTTAAATTCTTTCGAGCCTATAGTATTATATCGTCCACAAAAGCACTGAGAACGTGACCGGCCATGTGTCCCGTGGCCAAACTGCTCTGATCCAGTTACAGAATAGCCCTTCCAGAAGGCCGAAGCTCACCCTCATTTATTCACCAGACATGCACGTTTTACGGCAGCAGGTGCTGAGGTTCCTGTGACTGTAAGAGAGGTTCCAAGTCATGTGGTTCACGTGGTTTTTGCCCCTTTCCACCTGACTGACTTCGAATATGTTATGTTGTGACTAGAAATAAAATAAATCAACATTTAATTCCCCCGTCGCCTGGTTGGTCCTCTAACAGCCAGAAGTCTGCGAGGAGAGTTATGGGCCTTTTCTGAACCGAGGGTAATGTACGAGGTATATTCTGTGTGCCAGGTAAGAGCGTACTCTCCAGTGCTTCCACTCCTTACCCTCTGAAGTAGGTGCTGGTCTCTCCAGGGTGCAGGGGAGGAAGTGGGGCCTCAGTGAGCTGACCCGCCCGGCCTTGGGCGGCCGCATCACTCTGGTTCTAAAGCAGCGCCCTTGCTCATGGTGCTATCAGTGTGAGGACTCACCCTTCTAAAAGATAAAGTCCCAGGGGGATGTCTAACTTCATCTAGGCCAGCAATGATGACCTTCAAATATTTTTTCAAGTATCTTCATCCTCTGTTATTTCATTACAAGGAAACTGTGATGGTGGAAGGTTCTGAATAATATTGAGCGTGTAGGAGTGATGTCAGTGTCTTCCAATGTCTCGTGGATTTTGGATATTATCAAGTTCTGCCCTCACCTAGCCAGATATTTTTGAACCAGAGAGAGGAGCAGGTTGGGGCAGGGACAGACCAGAAAAATAAGGCAATATTGTCATTCTTAAAAATAGCTAAATTTTTGTGCCTTACAGTTTATAATCTAATACAACCCACACCATCACCTAAAGTGTATGGGACATGCAGTGGCGCATTCGTCCGTTTAACAGATAAAACACTGAGATTCAGCCATATGCCACTGAGGGACACAGGGACAGTGAGAGCAGACTCCTGCCACAAAAGAGTGCACCCCAGCTCAGTCAGCTGGGAGGGATGAATGCAGATTTCATTCCTCTACACTGCGGTGTTGGTTATTGTAGAAAGTCATACCAAAAACAAACCACCACAAAACTCAGCGTAAATCCCTGTCCTCCCCAGCCCTCTTGAAATGATCAGAGTCCTTTCTCGGAGCTCCTAACATATGGTTTGAGAAACAATGTCCAAGACAAATTATTGTTCCTTAGTATGAAATTTGTATAAGGAATCTGAAAAATATTTAAAATATTTGCATATATGTATGTATCCCTTCAAATCATCTAGAAACTGGCACAATGGACTTTTGAAATGTAACAAAATTATAAAGTAAATGACTTACTTTCATGTTTCTGACTAAAGCCTACCGGTTGCATGATTCATAATTAAAAAGTGTGTATCATTAGAAATCAATTGCAAAAAATTATAATTGGAAGGAGATATTTATTGGCCTATTTTTGCCCAACTCAGTTTCTCCAGATTAAAAGAGTAACAAGCCACCCCGTCACGCTCACTAAGATAGCAACAGGAATCAGTGACAAGGCAGGTCTCCTAAAACAAATCACATCTAGGGTGATGGGGTCAGTCACATTTTCGATGGGAAGAGGCCTCAGAGCTTGGGTGCTCGCAGCTATCCACGTTCCTCTGCCGGGAACCCACAGCGTATGGTGTCACAGACAAAAACCTGAAGACCTGACCTACCACCCGAGCACAGAAGGGCCTGAGTTTACAAAATTACCTTCACAGGCTCCCTTGCTGCCCCCCCTCCAGCCGTGGCAGCAGGCCAGTTTGGGTCCATAGCGACAGAGGCCGGGCCGGAGCGCTGGGCCCCACAGTCCGTGACGCCTTGGGCTGCGAACAAAAAGCTGCATGTTAGTATTAAGAACACAGAAAGGGCAGCAGAGAACATTCCCTGCGACTGACTGAGCAGCAGGGATCTCAGTTACCCGGCTACTTCCAATAAACTCGCCGGAAGCGCTCAATTCCGCTTTGAAAACCCGAATTCGGGGTGGCCTGTCTGCTCCTTGCCAGGCTTCCCCAATAATTAGCGTCACTCATCTCCTTCTTCCCCAGGGTGAAAAGAATTAGGGTTAACATAACCTAGGAAACTAGGGCACGTGAAAGTGGCCAAACGTTTATGTTCCCGAGCCTCCCAGGGTGCCAGTTTTCAAGTCTGCTCCACGTAGGCACAGTGGCTACCCAAGCCTGTGTCTGTTTATGCGACGTCCCCCGCCTGTGGCTCTGTCCAGGTAAGAGCACTGCACTTTTCCCCCACTGGCCACCCGGGAGCCCTTGGACAAACTGGAAGGTCCACACACTAGAGCCGGGTAAGAGCTGGAAGGACTCTGGGGCCCCCTGGGCCAGGCCCGCCCGTGTTATAGTTGAGGGAACTCCAGCCCAGTGGAAAAGGCCCCTCCCCAGCCCTGGCACCTTCCCCTTCCTCTCTGCTAAACTCTTCAACCGCACAGCAGGGGCAGGCCAACATTTTCCATAACGGGTCCGATGGTAACTATTTTATGCTTTGCGGGTTATATGTCACTGTCCAGTTGCAAAAGTAGCTGCAGGCAATCGTAAACAGTTGGAGTGGCTATGTTCAATCAAACTTTATTTATGGACACTGAAATTTGAATTTAATATACTTTTCATGTGGCATGTAATAGTATTCTTCTTTTGTCTTAGCTTTAGCCATTTAAAAAGGTAGAAACCATTCTTAGCTCATGGGCCACATAAAAACATGCCCACCCACCCTTGACCTGCAGGCTGCAGTTTGCTGACCCCTGACCAGATGAGCCTGGCCACCAAGTGTCCCTAAGTATTCTGGGCCATGGATGAAGCTCGCTGCATGTTTGCCTACTTACAGGCCTAGCATGGGACAGGGCTGCTACCAGATTCTAGAAGAAAAGACTTAAGTTGTATATTTTATGGAGGGCTGGGGTTGTTTGCACATGCATATTAAATACACTGTAAAATGTTTCCTGGGCTGTTTGACAAGGAATGTACATTTTACCATGTGCTTTCTGCTGCAGGACTGAATTTTATGCAAGTTAATGACATCTGAGTCAAGGTCGGTAAGTTAAACCACCTTTCTGGTTTCCCTCGTGGTCTGCCTCCCACCAACTTGGTTATTCAGTTAAGAGCTACAAAGATATGGACTGCGACACTTCATTAACTGAGAACACCAAATCAAGGTGATCTTGAAGGGACTATTTTTTCATCCTCTAATGGAGTTAATTTGCGGGATTTATAAGTCATTCGCTCAACCCCTGAATGGGGGTTTTCAACCCCTACAACATCTACATGACCAATATTTTGAGCCAGATAAATCTTTGTTGTTAAGGGCTGTCCTGTGCATTGTAGGATACTTAGCAGCATCCCTGGCCTCCATCTACAGACACCAGTAGCACCTACCCCTCCAAAAATGTCTTGAGGCATTGCTAAATGTCCCTGGAGGACAGAACTGTCCCTGTTAAGTACCGCTGCATTAAAGCGAAACATTTACTGAGCGCTTTCTGTAGTCCAAACACTGTCCTAGGCACATAGCATGATGAAAATGACCCGATCTAAGAGAACTTAGACTGTTCTCTAAGTTCATGGTCTACTGTAAACAGATACATTAGAGTCAAGGACAGCCTGGTAAGTAGCAACACAGTGCTCTCAGCAAGAGTTCTGGCTGGGAAATAATACAGCCATCTGTTGTAATCTAATCTGGATATTACTAACAATTCTACAAGGGGTACCATAAACTTGATCCAGTCTGCATGGAACTAACAATGCCCAAGGAAGAAACCACAGACTACTGAACATGAAGTGTGTTGAGCAAATAAGCCCTAAACAGTGATGCATTTAAGAATCTTTTTTGAGCATTTTAAAAATTGAAATATAATTCACATAATATTAAATTTACCATTTAAAAGTATATATCTGGTACTGTGATCCCTCCAACTTTGTTCTTCTTTCTCAAGATTGCTGCAGCTATTTGGGGTCTTTCTGGTTCCGTTTTGTGACCCCTTGCTTCCTTATATGCTCCTTGTAATATATTAGCATGCTAAATGACACACCCTGCACCGCCATGACTGGAAACGGAAAGGCCTGCTGGGGCTCTTCCCAGAAATTTCCACCCCTTTCCCAGAAAGATCCTGGATATTCCTCTTCCTCCTTATTGAATGCCCTACCATCCGATTAAATGGGCTTCAATAAATGAAGTAAATCCCACTAGAGAGGGGCCGCTCTGTATGTGCAGTAGCCACTCTTAGTCTCCCTTCTTCATTAATAAACTCTCTTTCACTTTAAGTTCTTTAAAAGTATTTTAATTCTTTCTTGTACGAAGCCAAGAACCCACAGTAGCTGCCAGACCCCCGGAATGCCTGCATCAAGGGGTTTTCTGGAGGAAATGGGACCTGATATGAATTCTGGTGACTGGTGGAACTTACCCAGGTGCAAGGGAGGAACCTGTTTAGTGGGACGGTGTTTCAGGCAGAGAAAATAGCCTGTGTCAAGGATGGAGCCACTAAGAACATGAGCTGGTGGCCTATAAACTTGAACATAGGAACTAGTGTGTGTTGGGACTAGGGGAGTGGGAGAGGAAGCAGAGAGATTAGCAGGGGCCAGAAAGGAAAGACCTGTGTCCATGGGAAACATTTTGTCCATCTTGAAAGCTCTGGAGAGTTATGGAAGGATTTCAAGCAATAGGAAATATTAAAGATTTGACAAAACACAAACCAGCCTCCATAGAACTATGATGAGCTTGATAAGCTCTAACAAGATTACTAAAACTGTTAGATGTGAAATCACACATACAAAAAATTGAAATTTGTTGAAATATGATATTTTTCCAAAAGTCTAATTAGAAACTATGGTGAAAAAGCCCAGGGTCCCCTGCCGAGGTGGACAAACCCATTTCATGTGTGTTGGGCAAAGTCAATTACTTTGGTTTATGCAGAATAGGGCCTGGGGTGAACTGACAGGAGAGAGTTACCAGAGATGAAATTCATATACTGTTTGCACGTTACCACAACTCTCCAGAGACATCTTCTCTCTCAAGTTTTATTGCTTTCACATGCTTGCCTGTAGGTGAAAAGGTGAAACTGAGAAATCTGAGTTGTATTAATTTCTTACACGTCATCGTTTTTGACATGGTACAAAGTGTCACTTGTAAAACTCTCCGAGATGTTAATGAGTAACACTTGGGCCATCAAAAACCTGTTAATAAAGTAAGATTTCTTATTCACTGTAAGAAATTCCTTTCTCAGTCACAAATGTATCTTAGAATGCACGCTCTCTTAGAAGAAATCAGAAGCTTAAATTAAATCTTGCCTTAGCCTCATTTGTTTAAAAAATGAAAATAGTTAAGAATCAACTCATGATTAGGAACTATAAAATGGATTCTGATGTTCGGAGAACTATACAAATTAGAAAACACTGGTTCAGCTTCCAGCTATAATGTGGATGCAGTGACATGCTCTGTGCATATTTTCAAAAGACAACCAAGCAGCTTCAAACAACACTGAAGGAAAAACCACCAGAGAACCAAGCGAGTCCATAAATGAGCAACACGCCTTTTAATTAATGGGTGTGCCATCCCTATATTCACCCAGTTTTGAGAGACAGCTTCAAAGGGACAGCTACAAATGGGGTTTTACTGGTTTCATCATCAAATTCTATATCTGGTCATGAAAATGGAAAACTAGTTTAAAGGGAGGAAATCACTACTGGACAGAAACGCTTATAATTACTTGCTGGTTTATACAGATGCCAGAGGAAATTGATTTATTACACCAAGAACCCAGCTCTGCATTTTATGCTTGCCAGCTTTTCAAAAATGCACATGTGCAGCTATTTAAAACTACAAATAAAAAGTAAATTAATTATTAAGTGTTTCTGTTTAAATTGAAACAATATTATTGAGGGGAAGAAAGGAATCCAGCACAGGCAAGCATGATACTGACAATAACAGCAGGACACTCTATCTTATAAAATCTCTTCAAAACTGCTAATGGGGGGGGAGAAAACTCATAGACATGGACAACAGCGTGGAGATCGTGGGGCAAGGGGTGGAAGAAGGCATAGAGGGGGTAAATGGTGATGGAAAAAAATAAAACTAAAAAAAAATAAGCATAGAAAAACTGCTAAAAGAGCTTTACCTTTCCGTTTCTACATAGTTCTCACATGCCATGCCATGTTAATGTTAGCAAATGATTCAAATGACTTCCCCAGCAGCTTCTCTTCATAGCTTTGCTTGAACATCACGCCCACTCCTGAACTTTCCCCATCCCTAATTCAAATGATTATTTTACTTTACCATCCGGTCGTGAGTATTCCGGATAAGGGCCAGGAACTATTAGGTTACACTATATGGGACTGGCCGGCGAGCTCAGTGGTTAGAGCGTCGGCCTGCGCACAGAAGGGCCCCGGGTTCGACCCTGGCCCCAGCTGGGGCTCGGGTGGAGGCAACCAACCGCTGTGTCTCTGTCACATCGATGTTTCTCTCTCTGTCTCCTTTACAGCGCCGGCCGCCGGGCTTCCAGGCGGCCTGATGCCGGCAGCACCCAAGAGCCGTTTCCCTTCCTGAGGCCGGCACCCAGCTTTTCCCCATCCGGGCAGCCATCCTACAGAACAGCAGCCGCCGCCTTACAAAGCCCTCGGCAGGAATTGCACTTAGTTCCATACTTAGTGTGGCGTGCATTTTGCAAATGTGTAGAATTAGGCCAGTGATTCTGGGAGTATCAAGCATACACGGCTAAGGCATAGTACTAACCACTGGGATTCGGCAGATGTCCGAGTACAATGAGCTTTTGTGCATTTGACTGGACTGACCCAACCCCATGGAACCTGATCAACTTGAGGGCATCAATAAAGGGGAGTTTATGAAAAAGAATTCCTGATCGTG